CCCAGAATCATATTGATTATACTCTTTGCAGACAAAAATAGGGAAACCCTATACAGTCAGCAAAAACAAGACAGGGAGCTGACTGTAGCTCAGATCATGAAAACCTCATTGCAAAATTCAGACTTAAAAGGAAGAAACTAGGGAAACCCACTAAATTATTCAAGTATGACTTAAACCAAATCCCTAACAACAATACAGTGGAAGTGAGAAATAGATTTAAGGGACTAGATTTGATAGACAGAGTGCCTGAAGAACTATGGGCAGAGGTTCATGACAATGTACAAGAGACAGGGAGCAAGAACATCCCCAAGAAAAAGAAATGCAAAAAAACAAAATGACTGTCTGAAGAGGCCTTACAAATAGCTGTGAAAAAAATGGGAAGCAAAAAGCAAAGGAGAAAAGGAAGGATATACCCATTTGAATGCAGAGTTCCAAAGAATAACAAGGAGAGATAAGAAAGCCTTCCTCAGTGATCAGTTCAAAGAAATAGAGGAAAACAACAGAATGGGAAAGACTAGAGATCTCTTCAAGAAAATTAGAGATACCAAGGGAATATTTCATGCAAAGATGGGCTCAATAAAGGACAGAAATGGCATGGGCCTAATAAAAGCAGAAAATATTAAGAAGAGGTGGCAAGAATACAGAGAAGAACTGTACAAAAAAGATCTTCACAACCCAGATAATCATGATGGTGTGATCACTCACCTAGAGCCAGACATCCTGGAATGCAAAGTCAAGTGAGCCTTAGGAAGCATCACTACGAAGAAAGCTAGTGGAGGTGATGGAATTCCAGTTGATTTATTTCAAATCCTAAAATGTGGTAACTGTGAAAGTGCTGCACTCATTCCATATGCTAGCAAATTTGGAAAACTCAGCAGTGGCCACAGGACTGGAAAAGGTCCGTTTTCATTCCAATCCCAAAGAAAGGCAATGCCAAAGAGTGCTCAAACTACCACAAGATTGCACTCAATTCACACACTAGTAAAGTAATGCTCAAAATTCTCCAAGCCAGGCTTCAACACTGCGTAAATCACGAACTTGCAGATGTTCAAGCTGGTTTTAGAAAAGGCAGAGAAACCAGACATCAAATTGCCAACATTTGCTGGATCATCAAAAAAGCAAGAAAGTTCCAGAAAAAAAAATCTATTTCTGCTTTATTGACTATGCCAAAGCCTTTGACTGTGTGGATCACAATAAATTGTGGGAAATTCTTCAAGAGATGGGAATACCAGACCACCTGACCTGCCTCCTGAGAAATCTATATGCAGGTCAGGAAGCAACAGTTAGAACTGGACATGGAACAACAGAATGGTTCCAAATAGGAAAAGGAGTCTGTCAAGGCTGTATATTGTCACCCTGCTTATTTAACTTATATGCAGATTACATCATGAGAAACGTTGGGCTGGAAAAAGCACAAGCTGGAATCAAGATTTCTGGGGGAAATATCAATAACCTCAGATATGCAGATGACCCCATCCTTAAACAGAAAATGAAGAAGAACTAAAGAGCCTCTTGATGAAAGTGAAAGAGGAGAGTGAAAAAGTTGGCTTAAAGCTCAACATTCAAAAAACAAAGATACAGAGATCTGGTCCAACCACTTCATGGTAAAGAGATGGAGAAACAGTGGCAGACTTTATTTTGGGGGGCTACAAAATCACTGCAGATGTTGACTCCAGCCATGAAATTAAAAGATGCTTACTCTTTGGAAGAAAAGCTATGGCCAACCTAGACAGCATATTAAAAGACAGACGTTACTTTGCCAACAAATGTCCTTGTCTTCAAGGCTATGGTTTTTCCAGTTGTCATGTGTGGATGTGAAAGTTGGACTATAAAGAAAGCTGAGCACCAAAACATTGATGCTTTTGAACTATGGTGTTGGAAAAGAATTTTGAGAGTATCTTGTACTGCAAGGAGATCCAACCTGCCCATCCTAAATGAAATCAGTCCTGAATATTCATTGGAAGGACTGGTGTTGATGCTGAAACTCCAATACTTTGGCCACCTGAATCGAAGAGCTGACTCATTTGAAAAGATCCTGATGCTAGGAAAGCTTGAGGGCAGGAGGAGAATGGGACGACAGAGGATGAGATGGTTGGATGGCATCACTGACTCAATGGGCATGAGTTTGGGTAAATTCTGGGAGTTGGTGATGGACAGGGAGGCCTGGCAACAGTTCTACAGTGCTACAGTTCATGGGGTTGCAAAGAGTCAGACACGACTGAGCAACTGAACAGAACTGAATTGTCCATAAATAGATGAATGCATAAAGATGATGTGGTACATATAGTTAATGGATATTTTGTGGGGGTTTGGTTTAAAAATCACAATGGATAAATATAAGCATAACATAATACCAGTAAAGATACATGTGGATAGTGGTGCATTTTTTAAGCTTAAAATAACTGTAGAAAAAAACTGATAGATTTCACCATATATTGTGAAATTTCATTCCTGCTTTATTCTATATTATTCCTTTAAAAAATTGTATTCTATTCTGTTCTACCAAACCGATTTTATTAATATTCCCATTGTTGGTGTTCTGTCACCAACTTGTGTCTGACTCTTTGCAACCCCATGGACTGCAGCATGACAAGCTTCCCTGTCCTTCACTATCTCCTGCAGTTGTATCAAACTCATGTCCATTGAGTCAGTGATGCCATCCAACCATCTCATCATCTGTCACCTCCTTATCCCCCTGCCCTCAATCTTTCCCAACATCAAGGTCTTTTCCAATAAGTCAGTTCTTCACATCTGGTGGCCAAAGTATTGGAGCTTCAGCTTCAGTATCAATCCTTCCAATGAATATTTGGGGTTGATTTCCTTTAGGATTGACTGGTTTAATCTCTTTGCAGTCCGAGGGACTCTCAAGAGTCTTCTCCAGAATTACAGTTCAAAAGCATTAATTCTTCAGTGCTCAGCCTTCTTTATGGTCCAACTCTCACATCTGTACATGGCTACTGGAAAAACCATAGCTTTGACTCTTTGAACATTTGTAGGCAAAGTGATGTTTCTGCTTTTTAACATACTATCTAGGTTTGTCATAGCTTTTCTTCCAAGGAGCAAGCCTCTTTTAATTTGATGGCTGCAGTCTCCATCCACAGTGATTTTACTCCCATTAATAGAGCTTAAATTGCAGTTTGAAAAGCGCTGTTCTTAGTCAGATATAGAGAAGAAGTATATTATTAGTATATATTAATTAAGATCATATACATTAGAACAGAACTTGGGGTTATAGTCTTACTTTTATACTTAATAGTTGTATTAACCTGGGCAAGTTACTTAGTATCTCTGAGTTTCTGTAACCACATATATAGAGTGAAAATAATAATAATAGTTACATAGTTAATTTTTGTGAAGTGACTGGAATTGTGTCTTGTTACATAAGGAGCACTAGTTGTTTGCTATTATCATTTGTGTTTGTATTAGTCAGGGTCCTCTGGAGAAACAGAACCAATAGGATGTGTGTATATAAGTAGAATGGCATTTATTTTAAGTAATCAACTCATGATACTATGAAGGCTGGCAAGTACAAATTCTGTAGGGTGGAGATTTAGGAAAGAGTTGATGTTACAGTTCAAGTCCAACCATCAGGCTGAAGACACAGGAAAAACCAATGCTGAAATTTCAAGTCTGAAAGGAGTCTGCCACCGGATTCTCTCTTGTTCAGGAAAGAGCAGTGTTTTATGCTATTCGGACCTTCAACTGATTAGATGAGGCCCACCCACATGCTGGAGGGCAATCTGATTAAAAATTCACTGATTTGAATGCTATTCTTATCCCAAAACACCTGCACATAATCATCTAGAATAATGTTGGCCATAGATGGGCATTGTGACCCAGCCAAATTTGCATATATAATTAGTCATCATAGAGCTGAATGGATTTCACGTCATGGTAAAATAAACAAACATGTTAACTGTTCAGCACACTGAAGACACTGGGGAAAGACTTGGGTATCTAAGTGAGATATATCATTTTCAAATATCATATTTTAATGAAACAAATACAATTCAAAATCATAAGAAAGGTGATTTGAATTTGTATAAAAATTATGAATATTTTTTTCCAAATTTTTTTAATGGAAAACTTGAGTTTGTTTCCAATAGTTTACCCCAGCTTTTTCAGTTGAAATGACAATGAAAATTTTCTGAAGAATAATTTTTAAATTAAAAAAATTATTTAATTTTTTTATTGGCGTATAGTTGCTTTACACTGTTGTGCTAGTTTTTACTATACAACAAAGTGAATCAGCTCTATATATGCATATTATCTCCTCTTTTTTTGATTTTCTTCCCATTTATTTCACCACAGAGCATGGAGTAGCATTTCCTGCGCTGTGTAGTCAGTTCTCATCAGTTATCTATCTTATTTGTTGATGTTGTCACGTCAGACTCTTTGTGATCCCATGGACTGTAGCCTGCTAGGCTCCTCTGTTCATGGGATTTCCCAGGCAAGAATATTGGGGTGGGTTGCCATTTCCTTCTCCAGGGTATCTTTCTGACCCAAGCTTCGAACCCAGTTCTCTTGCATTGCAGGCAAATTCTTTACCATCTGAGCCACCAGGGAAGCCCTATCAATTTTATCCATAATAATAATTTGAAATTTAATTTTTGCCTCATTCAGATACTTAAAGGGCCTGACATTAAATTTAAAGAAATGATGTTAAAACTGTCCTTCATTTTCTCCTTTTGAGAAACACAGTGTTGAGATTTCTTGTTACAATGCAAATGAATTTCAAATCCAATATCATGTTCACATATAGAGTATTCCAAAAGCTAATGAATCTCTAAACTGCAGAATGTTCACATGGTGTTAGATAGTCATGTTGCAGCCTAGATGTCAGTAAAATGACAAGTCAGCTAAAGGTGCACAGGTTTCTGATGAATGTGAAGACAGATTTGGGAGCCCAGGTGGAGCTGTATCTGCCAGGAAACTTCACCAGACACAATATTCACCCCTTCCTGCCTGACTGCCTCTTCACAGCCCTATCCTGCTGTACCATGGCCCTTATCCACAATGGGGCCGTGGAGACAGTTGTTCGGGTGCCTGGATTAACCAGATTAGCATATGATCGCAAAGCAGAGAACCGAGCAGAGGATGTCGGGGTTAGTCTCCCTGGGGTCCCGGGGGGCCAGGCTATCAGAGCACCTCTGCAAACTGCCTTCCATACTATACCTGAGGAGACTGCCAGGTCTGTATGGCCAGCTCCCCCTCTTTGTCCCCATATTTCTAGGCACCCTTGTACTTTAATCAAAAAGCTTTTCATTCAGCACTGTGCCCATAGCAGAATGCCTGCTACAGAGTAGATGCTTAGTAATATTTGTTAAATGAATGTTCATAAACTAGCTTATATTTTATATTATCATATTCATCCTAATATCAGTGGAAAATCTTTGCTTTGTCCTTGCATGGCTAGAAAGGTTACTGACAATAGCTGGACTATTCATCATAGTCAAAAATGTAGGGGGAAAAAAAACAAATATCCATTGACAAATAAATGGATAATCAAAGTGATATATCCATATAGTGAAAGAGAAAGTGAAATTTGCTAGTCGTATCCAACTCTTTGTGACCCCATGGGCTATACAGTCCATGGAATTCTCCAGGCCAGAATACTGGAGTGGGTAGCCTTTCCCTTCTTCAAGGGATCTTCCCAACTCCGGGATTGAACCCAGGTCTCCCACATTGCAGGCGGATTCTTTACCATCTGAGAAACAAGGGAAGCCCAAAATACTGGAGTGGGTAGCCTTTCCCTTCTCCAGGGAATTTTCTGACCCAGGAATCAAACCAGGGTCTCCTGCATTGCAGGTGGATATCCATATTGTGGAATATTATTCAGCCTTATAAAGGAATGGAATTCTGATACATGCTACAACATGAATGAAATTTAAAATATTCAGCTAAGTGAAATAAGCCAATCACAAAAGGACAAATATTGTGAGTCCACTTAGGTGAAGTACTTGTGCAAAGTCGCTTCAGTTGTGTTTGACTCTGTGCGACCCTATGGACTGTCGCCCGCCATGCTCCTCTGTCCATGGGATCCTCCAGGCAAAAATACTGGAGTGGGATGCTATTTCCTTCTCCAGGGGATCTTCTCAACCCAGGGATCAAACCCACATCTCTTACATCTCCTGCATTGGCAGGCGAGTTCTTTACAACTAGCGTCACCTGGGAAGCTAACAGTAATCAAATTCACAGACATGGAAAATAGAATAGTGGTCACCAGCAGGTAGGGGAGGGGACAGTATGGAGTTATTGTTTGATAGGTACAGATTTTAGTTTCAAATGATGAAAAAATAATTCTGGAGTTGGATGGCAGTAATTGTTGTATGGCGGTATTATTTACTTAATGTCACTTATACATTGTCAATTACGTATAATGTCAATTACACATTGACTGGTTAAAATGACAATTTTATATATGTTTATGTTATTTTACTATGATTTTTTTTAAGTTGATAGGATTTGTACAGAATAAGGGTGTATGTTCTGCCTTAAAGAAGTATCCAGGTCTCTACCTTTTCTCTAAAAAAAAAAAAACAAAACAAGAATTAAAAAATGAGAGCCTCAAAATGATTTAATTTTTTTTATGAATGTCATCCTTAAAAGTACAAGCAAGCTTTGGGCCCAGATGCATATAGCTACAGGTGGAATGATCAGCTACTAAAATAATCATTTTTCTCTGTTGACTAGTAAAGCCCACTGAACTGTAGCATTATGTCCTACATATAAAATTATATTTAAGCTATTACCAGTCTTAAACAAGTGTTTATAAACCACAAAGATATTATTCTCTGGCTAAATATGTAGTAAAAATAAAATGTTATACAGATGTTTTCAAAACACTAAACAGGGGAGAAAGGTTTAAAACAAGGAAGATAAGAAATGAAATATCTAACTTAATAGCGGTTATATTTGTGTGATCAGATCATTGAAAACAATTTTCTATGTTTCTGTGTTGTTTAAACTTTTTATAATGAGTATGTTTCTATAACATCTACTTTAAAAGGATCCTAGAATACCCTTAAGAATGTCCATTTAATTCTTTATTGTCCTTTTAAGGGTAGTAAGTCTCCATTTATTTATTTTTAATTGAGATTGGGATCTGAAAATAAGCCTGTCTAACATATTTATTATTCAGTACCAGTCAATAACAATGCTTTAAGCATTCCCTTGCCAATTTATAGACTTCCAATTTTTAATTTACTATTTATTGGTATAAAAGACACATTCACCATTCTAATTTCATACTTTGATTTACCTGGTTTTAAACTTGAGGCCCCTGTGGCATGAATTTTTCCCTTGATGAGGTACTTCTAAGGACTTTTAGGAGATTCTGGGCTTGTGAACCCTTGTTGGGAAAAAGAAAAAAAAAAAAAAAACAAATGGGAATAGAAGATGGGACTGGGGAAGTTAAATGACTATAATTTTTCCATAATTTTTCTTGTAAAATTGAGAGGAAACTAATGCTCTGGCAAATGTGTAAGTGTTTATGTGGGAAGCCTGAGAGCATACGGACTGTGGACAACATTGACAATACAGGATTGGTGATCTTGTCCAGGTAAGTTTAAGAAGATATTGGTCTGGGAAGCTTACTGGGTAGGAAGTCAAAGGGGAGAGTACCAGACTGAACTTTAATTATTTTAATTAATTTTCATTAATTTTTTTCTTTAACCTCCAGAATCTACCTTGCTCCTAGGAGGGCTTCATTTTCACATTTATAAAATAGAATTACAAGAATTTCTGAGCAACAAAATAGGGATAATTTACAAAAGTTAAAATTCTACAGGTTGTTGGCCTTTATTGTTGCTATTAATAAAAATAACCAGAAAAATATAGTCTCTATCCTTAGGAAAGTCCCAAGTGAATAAAGCATGGCTAATATATAATGACTAAAATTTATGACAGAATTGTTAATAGTCACAGGAAGGAAACACAGAGTGTGATGAAGACTCAAAGGAAGGAAGGAAAGAAGGAAGGAATATTCATTGTGTATTAGATAAGGCAGTAAATAATCATTGTGGAGGAAGTGACCTTTGAGACTGGAACTGAAGGTAGGATTTGGATGTCTAGCTGTGATGAGAGGAATAGCAGGTGAAGAGAATGACCCAAGGAGGGGCCTGGTGATGTGACAAATAAGGGGTCACATTTAGCTGAGATTATGGGAATGGTAAAGTTGAGTGGTATGGGATATGAATAGAAAAATAGATGGAGTCATATTATGATCTAATTGGTGTAGTGAGTTGGAACATTATTCTCTAGAAAGGGGCTAATTTTTATCACATTAGGGCTACCCTGTTGGAAAGGTGGCTTTGTGTAGGATGGTCAGAGTGTCTAAGGTGATGCAACCTGGTAGGAGCTAGTGCAATAGCCTGAGTGAGAATAATAGTGATAGTTAAGCAAGAATGAGAATTAATATTTATTGAGCACATATTATCTTCTAGGCATATTATATACACTGTCTTATTTAATCCATTACCTTGGGTACAACTAACTTGCTGTTACACTTGAAGAAACAGAAACTCAGGGGTTTTAAATAAGTTGCTCAAGATCAAGAGCTGGTGTTCCAACCGAAAAGTGTCCTCCTGCAGTACACATACTCTTTTTTTTTGTTGTTTTTATTTAAGTTTTTATTTTGAGATAATTGTAGAGACACATGCAACAGTAAGAAATAATACAGAGAAATCCCATGCACTTTTTAATTAATTTTCTTAATGTAACGTCTCCAGTGCTTCACCTACTTTATGTATCTACCCTCCTCCAAACACCTGACAATCACTGATCTTTTTCTGTCTATATATTTCTGCCTTTTCTATAATGTCATGTAATGGGAATAACAAAATATGTAGCCTTTGAAGACTAGGACCCATGTTGTTCAACTAGCAGCCTTTTCTATAGTTTCTGATTTTTATAAAGTAATTTAATATTCTGGATTTGCCAGTTTTTTCTAAATGGGAATAAATTTTTCTTTTGTTTGTTTTGTAGCGTAAACAATCTAACTTTGAGAAACCAGGATAACAATCAATAAACTTACAGTGCTAGAAAGAACTACCCTGCACCTTATGTTAATTTACAAAAGCATTGTGATTCCCCAGGGTCAGTTCTTTGCTGCCTCACTGTATCAGGCCTCAAGAGATACATTTCAGAGTTGAACAGCAATTATCACCCAGGAAGTTTTCTTATTTAAAACTGCCTTCATTAATTAGTTCCTCTGAAACTTGTTTAGGAGTGAGGCACATAATTTCTTTCAAGGTTAATAATCACCCATCTCTGAACACTCCATCAATCTTAATAATGCCCAAAGCATCTTGTTAGAAAGATCAGTAAAAATGTTGGGTCTTAGAGTCTAAGTCTCACACTGGCATGAAAAACTTAAGTTAGTTTTTTGCTGTAATAGCTTCTCTGAAGATTTAACTACTGACTGCTCAGGCTTGAAACTCATTCAGTTTTTTTTTTTTTTTTGAACCCCAGAAATGTTAGAAGTGAAAACAATAATCTGGGATGATCCTTCTGTTTGTGAGATGAAGGAACTAATAAAGGAAGAGTTGATTGGTTTAAGGTCATGGAGGTAAAAGTGCAATATTAAGAACCTGGTCCTCCTGATAACTAGGGTGATTATCCCTTGTAGGGTCCCATGATACTTATAAAACACAGAGGAAAGAAGCAAGGAGGGAAGGGAAGAAAACTCAAATAACTAATCACAGTGAAAGAGAATATCAAACATTTTATGATTAACTCATGACTATTCCCAAAGGACATTCTATTAAAAAAGACAATCATATTCTTGTGGAATTTAAAAATATGTGATAGAGAAGTAAAGGAGAATTTTTAAAAAGAAAGTCAGAACGTCCTGGTACTTTTTGACAAAGGCAGCAAGGGGAAGGAAATGGTCTTGAGCACTCAGGGAAATAATGACACTTGTTCTCAACTAAATCAACTTTGCTTTCTTTTTTGGCCAACTTTTTTATAAAAAAAAAGAAAAAGAATCTTTTCTCTTAGAGATAGTTGATTGGTATAATCTGCTGAATGGATATAGGAAATATGTGCAAATATATTTTATATATTTTCAATGCCTGTAAACTTTGTATGTGTATATACTGTATAC